CATGTGTGTAGTTGCTTGTCTTCAGCGTATGTTATGATGTCTCTTAGTGTGTGGTTGTGGTCCTGTATTGTTCTGCTGTGTACCGCGCTAGCTTGGTCGGTGTGTATCAGATCCTTCATGAACGGTCTCAACTTGTTGGTGAGGGTTTTAGAAAGAATTTTGTAATCAACGTTTAGGAGGGATATGGGTCGGTAGTTTTTCATGTCTAGGGGGGAGCCCGAGTCTTTGGGAATGAGGGATATGTACGAAAGGTTTAGAGACTCGGGCAGGGAGCCTTGCTCGAAGCTTTCATTTATCATTTTCATAAAGAGGGGGGCCAAAATAGGGAAGAAAGCTTGGTAGAATTCCACGGTTAGGCCGTCGGGGCCGGGGGAGGTATTTTTTTTCATTAAGTTGAGAGCGTCCCGAAGGTCTGCTAGTTGTGTGTCGGTGTCTAGCGTTTGTTGTTGTTGTTCGGTTAGTTGTGCTGTGTGTTTCGCGTACTCGTCCTGTGTCGCCTCGTCTGTGTGTTCTTCTGTGTACAGTGTGGTGTAGTAGTCTTGAAATGCGTGTGTTATTTTTTGCGGGTCTGTTTGTATGTTGCCTTGCGCGTCTCTGATTTTTTCGATGTGTCTGTTTTTCTGTATAGATTTTTCTAACGCAAGGTATTGTTGTGTAGGTTTTTCCTCTGGTGTGTTTGTGAGTCTTGAACGTATCTGTGCCCCCCTGTATCTGTGTTGTCGGATTTCCTCTAGTTCTGTTTGTAACTCTAAGTTGTGTGGTTCTTGTAGCGTTCCTTGTTCTTCTGCTGTTTGTAGTGTTTGTTCTAGTAGGTGTTCTCGTTGTCGTCTGCGTGTGTTTATTTGTTTGGACATGATGATGCTTACGGTTTTGATTGAATCTTTCATCATGTCCCAGGACTCGCGTATGTTGTTGGTGGGAAGTGGTTGTGTGTATAGGGTGATCGTGTTTGTGGCTGCCTGTATGAAGTTTTCGTCCTCCAACAAACTGTTGTTAAATTTCCAGTGTGGCGATAGTTTTTTGCGTGTGTGTACGCCGGGTCCTATTGTTACTAAAACTGCCTTGTGGTCTGTGAATTGGAGTGTGTTGTTTATGTGTGTGCACTGCGTGACTGTGAGGGATTGGTCGGTGTATATTCTGTCTAGCCTAGCCGCTCTGTTAAATGTTGTGTGTCGGTGTGTTGGATTTGTGGCGTTGTCTCTGTGTATTTCCCTGTAGCTATCTTTTAACCTGTGTGTGTCTACGATGTTTTGTAGTTCTATTCTCCCCGATCTGTCTGTTCCTATGTCTGTCCCCACGATATCCCTGTCTTCTAGTGTTGTGTTGAAATCCCCCCCCATTACGAGTTTGTGTTTTGTTGAGGCTAGTGTTGTGGCTAGTGTGTCGTAGAATGCGGGTCGTGTGCGGGGCTGTGCTGGCGCGTATATGTTGACTAATGTGTATGTAGAGCTATCTGTGTTGTTCGTGACGGTGGCCGTTGTGTAGCGGCCTGTTGTGTTGTCCGCTGTGTGTTCTGTGATTGTGTATTTGTCGGATGTTTGTAGGATCGCTGTTCCGCGACAGAAGGAGCCTAGGCCGAACACGCCCGTTGCTAGGCCCAGCTCCTGTGTTAGTTTTTGTGTTGTGTACCTGTCGCGGATGTTTGTTTCTTGTAGGAAGAGAAAGTCGGGTGTGTGTGTGTGTATGAGTGTTTTAAGGTGGGGCAACTTACCACGTATCCCTCTTGCATTCAGGGTTACCACTCGCAAGCCTGCCATCCTGCGTTCTATAAGAATAAAAAGGAGAGGAAATAATATTAGTAAATGAAAAAGAGATGTCATCGTTAGTGTCGTCTGGGGGAGGGGTTTGTCCGTCTGGATGTATTTTTTTCTGTTCTTTTTTTCTTCTCTGTTCTGGCGTCAATAAGATTTTGTGTCGCTGTGTCGGTGGAGTTTTGTCTTTTTAAAGGTAGATTTGATTTTTTTTTCGTCTGTCTGTCCTGTTTTTCTTGCTCTGACGTCTGTTTCTAACTCTATAGTCAATGTCTCTGCTTCACTGTCGCTGTCGCGTCTATCGTTTGTCTGTTGTCTCATGTCGATCGGCTCATTGTCTTCCTTAGAAGAGACGTGAGGTTGATCCCCACTTTGAGGAGGTTATGTTAGTGAGTGTTTCTGTTGAGAGATACTAGAATCACTCACAAATCAAATACAATCAGTCGAAAGAAAAAGGCCTCTACTTCTGGCGGCTATCTAATTATCTAAATCATACTGGAAACTAGAGCAAACCGCGTCCAAGTGATGA